CAATTTGTTTTCAGCTTAGAATGAATTGAATTGTACCAAAACCAAGCAAAGATATTTGCAGTCTGGTTTGTATGATAAGCATCTACTGGCTTCCTTTATTTCTGAGGAAAAAAAAATGTTATCTAAGGTTCTGGTCCTTTTCAGCCCACGGTCTGCCACTACTTCATTCGCCTCCTGAAGGATAAAGGGCTGCTACTGCGCTGCTACACCCAGGTAAATAAGTCCTCTTTCACTTTGGAGAAGAGAGGGAGGTTTCTGGTTAAAACAATTAAAGAGAAAGTTTTAGCAATACCATTCTAAAGGCCAGCCTCCTAAATAAATAAGGGCCCCGGCTTTTAGCCTTTTCTTATCCTTACTTTGAAATGGTGCATTGCAGGAAGTGAATTTTGAATGAATCTTCTGAGTATGAGCCAGTAAAATGATTAATGTATATGTACTATGTAAGGTATCCTGACTGTACGTGAGGGATTTTTTTTAAGGTTGAGTTCATGTGTGGCGCTTGAAAGTTGATATGCTGGCATTAGATAAAATAAAAGCCCGATAATAATTTTCAAAGCAAATAATATGTTGCTTCTCGAGAATTAAAATGAAGATAATTTATTTTACAAGCACTTAAATGAGAATAAGGATACTAACAATTCTGGCAAGCACATTACAAATTTCTCTGTAATTCCTGAGAAAGCATGTATGGTGCTGAGTATGGAAAAAAGAAAAAGGGAGAATTGATGCAGCTATGATCTGTGTGGAAGTGTAGGAGTTGAAATATTCTGTTTTAAAATGCGTGTGTAAGAAATTATCATATAATTAATATAAATATAAAAGGTTTGAAATGTGGTGATCAGGACTTTGATTTTGCAAATATGTTAAGAAGTGGGAAAACAGCTGAATGCATTCCTGGTCAGATAACTCTTGATGGGCAGCTGAAACTGATTACAAATGTTAATAAGTGATATGCTAGGAAGAAGATGGAATTTAGTTCTAGGAATCAAAGGACCCAGCAAGAGTGGAAACCAAAGTGATTATGACCACATATTTTGAGAAGATATAGCAGAGCTGGAACTTTTAAAATGCTAGGCTTTTCCCTATGTGTGTATTCAAAGCAAAGGGGAACTGTTCAGTTCCAGCATTCTGTTGGGGTGTGAGCATTTATTAATATCATCCTCACATCTTTTACTAGCTCCTTCACGTCATGGGAGCCAGCATGGATCAATAACCATGGTGGTGCTGTTGGGACTACAGTTCCCATTGTGTGTGCCTTACATAGAGTCTTTGAAGTAGGACAAGCCTCTTTCAGAGAGTCCTAGTCAGATTTATCTACAGGATTGACAGCCATTCAGGACTGAATTTATTTTGAACCACTTGTCTGCCTCCCAGAACATTGACACCTTGGAGCGGGTTGCTGGTCTGGATCCTGAAGACTTAGTGGAAGCTCATGGCACCTTTTACACCTCCCATTGCATCAGCTCTGCTTGCAGGAAGTCATACAGCCTTGAGTGGATGAAAGGTGATGGTCTGGAATTTGGGGCAGGGAAGAAATTGTCCTGGGCCTTCCAGAAGGTATTGAAGGGGTAAAGAAAATAAAAATGTCTTTGGAGTAACTCTGTATTATTCCTTGTGCGTGACCTTGATAGTCAGAGAAGCAGAAGTTTCAAGATAGAGAGGAAGCAGTGCTTGTTTATGAGATATGTGAATGCAGCTGATGGGAGAAAGCCACAACTCTTGGGATTCCAGTGGTCTGCTTTGGATTGTCTAGTATGGCTGCTGGGTTTAAGACAAGGCTTAAAAGACTGGTTAGAATTAAGGGTACATGTATTTATTTTTATTTATTATTAAATTTGTATGCCACCTATCTCCCCCAAACGGGTGACTC